CGTTGCACTGTGGTAGCTATCCCACAGTTCCCGCAGTCTCCGCTGCCCATTGGAATTCTGGGTTGAGCTCCCAATGCCTGATGGGTCAAAAACATTGTCGCGGGTGGTTCTGGGTACATGCCGTCAGGGCCTCACCCTGTGAAAGCAACGGCAGACAATCGTTTCGAGCCTTATTTCCTGGCTTACCCGTGCAGACGCCATACCATGGCAAGCATGGAGCCCGCTCAGCTCACTGTCACTGTACGTCTCCTGGGTGCTGGCAAACGTGGCACTGCATTACTACACAGCAGCAGCTCATTGCCTTTTGGCAGCAGACTGTGCATTACGACTGGTAGCCATCGTTGTCTCCTGGGTGCTCTTTTAGTCGACCTCAGTGAGGTCGGTCAGGGGCGCCTGGGCAGACATGGGTGCTCCCGGCAGACCTCGGTGAGGTCTGTCAGGGGCACCTGGACATAAATGGGAGTGACTCCAGGTCATTCTCTTTTTAAGTTTCGTCTCATGGAGATTCAGTCCTGCCTGCAGTCGTACTGCATCGTTTTCTGGCGAGCAGCCAGGAGATGAGGATGGCTAGCAGTCGTACTGCACCATCTTCTGGCGAGCAGCCAGGAGACGACAATGGCTGGCAGTCGTACTGCACCGTCTTCTGGCGAGCAGCCAGGAGACGATGATGGCTAGCAGTCATACTGCACCGTCTGCTGCCAGCCTAAGATGTATAAAAGAGAGATGGAGTGGATCAAAATAAGAAAGAGACCAGATTTGTTTTGTATTCATTTGTATTCATTTGCTCCTCCCTCCCTCTTTGACTAGTGGGGGGAGGGATAGCTCAGTGGTTTCAGCATTGGCCTGCTAAACCCAGGGTTTTGAGTTCAATCCTTGAGGGGGCCATTCTGTGTGACAGTTGTGTGTGTTTCTCCTTGATGTAAACCAAACCTACCCCTTTTGTTGATTTTAATTCCCTGTAAGCCGTCGCCCCTCCCTCCGTCAGAGCAATGGCAGACAATCGTTTCGCACCTTTTTTCAGTGCAGACGCCATAGCATGGCAAGCATGGAGCCCGCTGAGATCACCGCCGCAATTATGAGCACTGTAAACACCACACGCATTATCCTGCAGTATATGCAGAACCAGAACCTGCAAAAGCAAAACCAGGTGAGGAGGTGACAGCAGCGCGGTGACGAGAGTGATGAGGACATGGACACAGACTTCTCTCAAAGTACGGGTCCCAGCAATATGGACATCATGGTGTTAATGGGGCAGGTTCATGCTATGAAATGCCAATTCTGGGCCCGGGAAACAAGCACAGACTGGTGGGACCGCATAGTGTTGCATGTCTGGGATGATTCCCAGTGGCTGCAAAACTTTTGCATGCGTAAGGGCACTTTCATGGAACTTTGTGACTTGCTTTCCCCTGCCCTGAAGCGCAAGAATACCAAGATGAGAGCAGCCCTCACAGTTCACAAGCGAGTGGCAATAGCCCTGTGGAAGCTTGCAACGCCAGACAGCTACCGGTCAGTTGGGCATCGATTTGGAGTGGGCAAATGTACTGTGGGAGCTGCTGTGATTCAAGTAGCCAATGCAGTCAAAGAGCTGCTGATATCAAGGGTAGTGACTCTGGGAAATGTGCAGGTCATAGTGGATGGCTTTGCTGCAATGGGATTCCCTAACTGTGGTGGGGCGATAGACAGAACCCATATCCCTATCTTGGCACCGGAGCACCAAGGCAGCAAGTACATAAACCGAAAGAGGTACTTTTCAATGGTGCTGCAAGCACTGGTGGATCACAAGGGACGTTTCACCAACATCAACGTGGGATGGCCGGGAAAGGTACATGACGCTCGCATCTTCAGGAACTCTAGTCTGTTTCAAAAGCTGCAGCAAGGGACTTTCTTTCCAGACCAGAAAATAACCGTTGGGGATGTTGAAATGCCTGTAGTTATGCTTGGAGACCCAGCCTATCCCTTAATGCCATGGCTCATGAAGCCGTACACAGGCAGCCTGGACAGTAGTCAGGAGCTTTTCAACTATAGGCTGTGCAAGTATAGAATGGTGGTAGAATGTGCATTTGGACTTTTAAAGGGTCGCTGGCGCACTTTACTGACTCGCTCAGACCTCAGCCAAACCAATATTCCCATTGTTATTGCTGCTTGCTGTGTGCTCCACAGTCTCTGTGAGAGTAAGGGAGAGACGTTTATGGCAGGGTGGGAGGTTGAGGCAAATCGCCTGGCTGCTGATTATGTGCAGCCAGACACCAGGGCGATTAGAAGAGCACACCAGGAAGCGCTGCGCATCAGAGAAGCTTTGAAAACCAGTTTCATGACTGGCCAGGCTACGGTGTGAAAGTTCTGTTTGTTTCTCCTTGATGAAACACCCTCCCCCCTTGGTTCACTCTACTTCCCTGTAAGCTAACCACCCTCCCCTCCCCCCTTAGATCACCGCTTGCAGAGGCAATAAAGTCATTGTTGCTTCACATTCATGCATTCTTTATTAATTCATCACACAAATAGGGGGATAACTACCAAGGTAGCCCGGGGTGGGGGGTGGGGGAGGAGGGAAGCACCGGGTGGGGTGGGAGAGGAGGGAAGGACAAGGCCACACTGCACTTTAAAACTTATTGAATGCCAGCTTTCTGTTGCTTGGGCAATCCTCTGGGGTGGAGTGGCTGGGTGCCTGGAGGCCCCCCCCCCCACTGCGTTCTTGGGCGTCTGGGTGAGGAGGCTATGGAACTTGGGGAGGAGGGTGGTTGGTTACACAGGGGCTGTAGCGGCGGTCTGTGCTCATGCTGCCTTTCCTGAACCTCAACCATACGCCCGAGCATATCAGTTTGTTCCTCCAGTAGCCTCAGCACTGACTCTTGCCTTCTGTCACCAAGCTGACGCCACCTATCATCTTCAGCCTGCCACCTGTCCTCGCATTCATATTGTGCTTTCCTGTACTCTGACACTGTCTGCCTCCACGCATTCTACTGGGCTCTTTCAGTGCGGGAGGACTGCATGAGCTCAGAGAACATTTCATCGCGAGTGCGTTTTTTTCGCCTTCTAATCTTCGCTAGCCTCTGGGAAGGAGAAGATAGTGTGAGCGTTGAAACATTTGCAGCTGGTGGAGGGAAAAAAAAGGGAGAGTGGTAGTTAAAAAGACACATTTTAGAGAACAATGGGTAGACTATTTAAAATGGGTTGGCAATTTAAAAGGAGCGGCTGCGGTTTTCGGGTTAATGTGCAGCACAAACCCAACTAACCCCTCCACACACACACAATTCTCTGGGAAGATCGCTTCACCCCTCCCCCCGACCGCGTAGCTAACAGCGGGGAACATTTCTGTTCAGCCACAGGCAAACAGCCCAGCAGGAACGGGCACCTCTGAATGTCCCCTTAATAAAATCACCTTATTTCAACCAGGTGACCATGAATGATATCACTCTCCTGAGGATAACACAGAGAGATAAAGAACGGATGTTGTTTGAATGCCAGCAAACACCGGGACCATACGCTGTGTTATGCAGTGATTCCAGACTACGTGCTACTGGCCTGGCGTGGTAAAGTGTCTTACCATGGAGGACAGAATAAGGCTGCCCTCCCCAGAAACCTTTTGCAAAGGCTTTGGGAGTACATCCAGGAGAGCTTTATGGAGATGTCCCTGGAGGATTTCTGCTCCATCCCCAGACACGTTAACAGACTTTTGCAGTAGCTGTACCGGCTGCGAATGCCAGGGCAAATTAATCATTAAACACGCTTGCTTTTAAACCATGTATAATATTTACAAAGGTACACTTCACGAAAGGTCCCTTCTCCGCCTGGTGGGTCTGGGAGGCAGCCTTGGGTGGGTTTGGGGTGTACTGACTCCAGGTCCAGGATGAGAAACAGTTCCTAGCTGTTGGGGAAAACGGTTTCCTCACTTGCTTGCTGTGAGCTATCTTCAACCTCCTCCTCCTCATCTTCCTCGTCCCCAAAACCCGCATCCCTGTTGCATGCTACTTCATTGACGGAGTCAAAGCACGAGGGTGGGGTAGTTGTAGGGGCACCTCCTAGAATGGCATGCAGCTCATCATAGAAGCGGCATGTCTGAGGCTCTGACCTGGAGTGGCCGTTTGCCTCTCTGGTTTTTTGGTAGGCTTGCCTCAGCTCCTTAAGTTTCATGTGGCACTGCTGCGGGTCCCTGTTATAGCCTCTGTCCTTCATGCCCTTGGAGATTTTTTCAAATGTTTGGGCATTTCGTCTTTTGGAACAGAGTTCTGATAGCACGGATTTGTCTCCCCATACAGCGATCAGATCCTGTACCTCCCGTTCGGTCCATGCTGGGGCTCTTTTGCGATTCTGGGACTCCATCATGGTCACCTTTGCTGATGAGATTTGCATTCACCTTCAGATTGCCACGCTGGCCAAACAGGAAATGAGATTCAAAAGTTCACGGGCCTTTTCCTGTCTACCTGGCCAGTGCATCGGAATTGAGAGTGCTGTCCAGAGCGGTCACAATGGAGCACTCTGGGATAGCTCCCGGAGGCTAATACCATCGAATTGCGACCACACTACCCCACACTACCCCAAATTCGACCCGGCAAGGTCGATTTCAGCGCTAATCCCCTCTTCGGGGGAAGAGTACAAAAATCGATTTTAAGAGCCCTTTAAGTAAAAAAAAATGGCTTCGTCATGTGGACAGGTGGAGGGTTAAATTGAGGTAACGCTGCTAAATTTGACCTAAACTCGTAGTGTAGACCAGGGCTTAGGAATTCTAGATTCTTATACCTTAATCTGCAGTTGAGTTGCTGTGTGATGTTCAGCAAATTACCTAGGCCCAGGTACGCAAAGGTACATAGGTGCCTAAGTTCCAGGCCCTACTCATGAATATTACTGATGTTATTTTTAATGGGGATATTGCATGTAATTCCTTGTGCGTCAGAATTATTGGGTGTGATTTGAAAAGTGCATAAATGACTGAAAATCCCACTGAAATATCATAAAATATGTTTACCAACAACATCGAAGCTCACGCAGATCTTTGTTTTCAGCTCTCCTGGCTATTGCTCTTCATCATTTCCTACGGGCATGGAGTTTTGCTAGTAGAGCAGAGTGTATGAAAAGTCAAGCTATGAAAACCACCTCAATGCAAGATAGCGCTTACCAGGTATAATTTTTTTTTCTTGGCAGTGATTTGCAGCAGGTCTTAAAAATCCACGTGCTCATGGTGAATAGGAGGCTTTCTTGGGTAAATCTGATCAATTTCTGTGGAAAGTAAATTTTTATTTAAAAAAATGGGTCTCTCCCCCTCCCCCCTTCCACTAGTCTTACACTGACTACCAGTGGCCTTATTTCTGATTTAAAATAGCATAAACAAGAGGTGAATCAGGCCTCACACGTCTAACCATTATAAACATGAACCGCATGTAAACTGATGCAGTGCAGTCTTCTAAATCTGCAAATGTACAGTCCAAGTGCAGTGTTTCTGCTGTTGCTCAGAGCTTTCCCAAGATGCAGCACAGTAAAAGCTAACCAGTCTCGTCTGTTGTGTCTGTTGCTATTCAGAATCCTGTGGGCAGTTGTGAAAGTGGCAAGAATTAAAGTCAACTTCACCCTAATGCTGCTTGGGAACTTTGTGAGCCAAAGTAGGCAATGGAGCTATTCACTGAGAGGGATTACTCAAAAACAAAGATATTGTTAGAGTAGTGGAGACCCCATCCAACCAAGGATTTTCAGAGAGTTTCACATTTATCTGACATCTAGTAGCTAGAGACTGATATGAAAGAGCCATTAAAAGGAGCCAGAGACAGTATCTTGGTAGAAATTCCAGCATCCTCCTCTTCCCTGGCAGCTGTGGGGAGATTGGTCTCTTACCACAGTATTACCCCAGGCCAGTTCCCACCCATTCATCTTTTGTACTGGCCAGTAGCTAGCAAGTATAATTCTCTGACTAGTAGGTATCTGGTAATATTTCCAAGCCCTTTAGGTGAGAATATGGGTGGATGCATGGAGATGTGTGAGGGTGAGCAAGAGTGGGGGAATGAGATGGGCTTCCATAAGAGAGGTAAGGTATTTAGAGCACGGGCGCTGACTTTTATTTTTCCTGGTGAGTGCCCCACCCCAAGGCCCTTGCTCCGCCTCTTTCCCCAAGGCCCTGCCCTCGCTCCATCTCTTCCCACTCTGCCCCCAAAGCCCTGCCCTCACTCCACCTCTTC